ACGGCCGCCACGCCTTGTTGTGGGGCACAGAAGACAGACAAGCATTTCGGTTAGTAATGTGAGCCTGCGAGGAGGCCTGTGAGGAGCCTGGGGGAGGGGAGGAGGGGAGGGCACCATCTCTGGGACACTTTGTGAGCACAGTGATCTAGATTTTGGTGCCAGCTTCCATAGAGGTCCTGAGGCCAGACTGGGCTCCGCATGACGTAACCTGGGGTGGCTGCTGAGGGGGCCGTGGGGGAGGGGCAGAGGGCACGGATACAGGGTAGTAGTGGAACCAGGAGATATTTGGAGACGAGATTCGGCAGACAGGCTTGGGGTTGGATGGCGAGGATGGTTTGTGCCTGGCTGGGACCCCAGAGGTTGCGTTTTCCGGAGTTCAGTCCTGCTAACAGGACTCCACTGCTTCCATTCCTCCCATCACATCCATCCATCCATCCCCATCCCACATCCATCCATACCATCAGCCCATTCCGCTCCATCCATCACATCATCCTCACCACCCACCCACCCATCATCCATCTACCCATTCCTCCTCCCTCCATCCATCCTCCACTCACCCACCCATCCATCTACCCATTCCTCCATCCATCCACACACCTCTATCTACCCATTTCTCTCACCATACCCCCACACCATCATCTACTTCTCTTCACCATTCATCCTCACCCCCACCACTTCCATGCCTACCCATTTTTGTTTCTTTCCTCCATCGTCCCCATCCTCCACCCTTTCAATCACACCCACCCATGGCCATCCCCACCCTGTCATCCTCTTAACCCATATCTCCCCTCCATCCACCCATCATCCACATAATCTACATCCTCTCCCTCCATCCATCCATCTCCACCCACCACCCCATCCATCCATCCCATCCTACCATTCTCCTCCCCATCTCCTCATCCATCCAACCCCATCCTATGCCTAAAATCTATTCCTGTTCTTAACTATTCTCACCGCACAGGTAAGCGCTTCCTGGCCCAAGGCTGGAAGTTTACTGAGAAGACCTCAGGTCTTGCCCCTGCCCTCAACCAGAGCCAGTCTCTTTGGGTGGTCAAAGCAGACGGGAACCGTTGCTAGTGGTGGCAGTGGGTGCTTTGTGGGGTTAGGACGAGCACAAATGTCACTGCTAGTTGGGGTTTTGGCATGTTTAGAGCCAATTTCCTGGTCCCCAAAAATAGAAACCCTGGAAGCAGTTCTTTTTGCACCAAGGGGCCCTTACCACCCACAGAGAATTTGCAGCCCCTCTTCAAAGATAGCAAGAACACAGGAAACTTGTAAGGCTGCCCCTGGCCCATCCCTCTGGGCGGGTTCAAAGTGAGTCAGGCCACAGGTTTGGGGGGGAGGGAGACCCTGCACGGCCGGCCTGAGCAGCCAGGGCGGACAGGGCTCCGCTGTTCAGGGGTGCGGGGGACAGGCAGCACTCACCACGGGCAGACGCTGCGGGCACTGGTGCCCATGCAAGGAGACCAGGACAGCTAAGATCTTCCATGGGTAGGGGACATGGATGGTGACATGATGCAGGTGACAGAACTGAGGTGCTATTTATTTATTTTGAGACAGAGTCACGCTTTGTTGCCCAGGCTAGAGTGAGTGCCGTGGCGTCAGCTTAGCTCACAGCAACCTCAAACTCCTGGGCTCAAGCGATCCTTGCTGCCTCAGCCTCCTGAGTCAGATGGACTACAAGGCATGCGCCACACATGCCAGCTAATTTTTTCTATATATACATTAGTTGGCCAATTAACTTTTTTTTTAGTAGAGACGGGGGTCTCAACTCTTGCTCAGGCTGGTTCAAACTCCTGACCTCAGAGCATCTTCCCACCTCGGCCCTCCCAGAGTGTGGGAATTACAGGCGTGAGCCCACCGCGCGCCCTCCCCCTTTCTAATAAAAGCCAGCAGGCAGGATTCCTAGACAGGAGGCAGGTGCACCCTGGCGTCTGCAGACCACGTGCCTTGGTGATGGGGCACAACGGGCCTTCTGGGAGCCGTGTTCAGAGCGGCGGGTGCACAGACCCGTGGCGTGGGGTCCACTGCATCGCTCCGGGAAGAAGAGCCGTGCTGGTGCTGGGCACCAGGGACCCCCGTGGGACCACCCCCATGGGACACCCCCGTGCCACGTCGTGACCTGGCCTGTTTCCCCTCAGAGGATGTCGTTCAAACACCCAGTGGTGGCCTACGACGTCGGCCCAAACTGGTAAGAGGGTGCGACAGGGCTGGGCAGCTGGGCAGGACGGAGGGCTCGGCACTCCGGAGACGGGCCGAGTCCCGGGACCCGCGACGCCCCGGCTGTGTGTGTCGCTGTGGCCGGGGCACCGCGCGGGGCGGCGCCGTTCCCACTCTGCTCGGGCCGCCAGGTGCCAGACTGCGGAGGCCCCGGGTCCAGCCCGAATACGCAGAGTCTTCTGCTCCCCCCGGGGAGGGGAGGCAGAAAGACCGTAGCTCACAGGTGAAAGAGGTGTGGACAGTCAGTGTGACCCACTTCAGCTATGAGAGCTTGGCAGACAATAAGGAGGTGATGGAGAAGGGCTGGTGCCACGGACGGGCGCCCTCTCGAGGAGGGGCAGTCCGTGCTGAGACCCAGGAGCCGCCCTGGAGCCCGTGGCCAGCGCTCCGGGCGTGGCCTGCAGCGGCCCGGCGAGGGAGCGGAGGGCAGGTGCCCGAGCCTGGTGGCCTTGCACGTGCCTAGGAGCTGGAGCAGCAGGGCTTCATCCCACACAAAAGGCTGCGTGGGCCAGTTCGAGAAGTGGCTGCAGACAACCTGATCGTCGTGGCGCGGGTTCTTCGTGGGCATCGCCCTTCCAGTACTGCCTGGCTCCGACGGCGCCCTGCCCTTGCCGGGCCTGCCTTTGCCTCACTTGGCCTCTGTCTTACAGATCTTTGCATCTGCTGGCCCAGGAACCTTGTGAGTGACATCAAGGCGGTGAAGGCCAACTGGTGAGCTGCCCAGCCATGGCCACGTGCCTGCTACATCAGGCCTCTCGGGGCTCCTGCCGGTCCCGTCCTCCGTGTGCTATCCCGGTGGACGGCCAAGGCTGTGGGAGGGCATCCTGGCCTTGAACCGGAGCCCGAGGGGGCCGTCCTGCTCCTGCGCTGCCCTGCCGACCGAGAAGCATCTGGGGCTCTGCCGAAGGCTGCTTGTTCCGGGAGCCGTTACTGGAGCGGCGTGTACGTGTGTGTACTGTGTGTTCACCT